AATATCCACAAACCTCTCACCTTTTTCATATCGTTTTAACACATCTAGTTTCTCGGCTAAGCTTAGACACTTTCTATTAGCTTTTGAAACAACACTACCATCACTTGCTGTCTTGCTCATGTTGAATTGGGATGCAAAAATGCTGTGAGAAGCCTGAGAAAGTTTTTTCCAGTTCCTGTTCCAGATGCGTGAAAACAAAAGGCCCACCAAGTTCTGACTGTTGTTTACCACTCATTAGCGAGGCAGCTTCTTTGCGCAAGGTGCTCTTCATTTTTTTTATAATACATATTGGGATTTAGTTATTATTAAATGAAAATTTAATTTTATTTTATTTTTACTTTACAGTATTTTGGTTGTAAATACTAGAGAAATAAAGATGTAAACTGAATTGGGTCTTAAATTATCTAGGGTTTCAAATATGAAAAGTTGTTGGTCGAACTGTTGTTATCTGAGGCTTACCTGTACTGTATACAGTGGTCCCTCGGTTAACGAACTCAATCCGTTCCAGCAGGTTGTTCGTTAACCGAAAAGTTCGTTAACCGAAACCATTGTTTCAATGGGTTTTTGGGTAATTGATTCCAGCTCACCGAAAATTGCCTAAATTCAACAAAAAGGGTAGAAAAGTTCACTTACTTTGAGGTGTGTATGTAGAAGGCTCCTGGATGATGATGATGATGATGTGCATTTGAAGTGGGAGGTGGAGGAGGAGAAGAGAAGGCATTGGGGTGGAAGAGAAGTCACCCCATGGCACCATTTTACCCATAAAATTTTAGTTCTCTTGGTGTATTTCAAGATTATTTTCTTTAAATCAACACTGCACTGCGCTATATATTGTCAATATGTAAAATAAATTTCAAAATGACCAATAATTTGCTTGGAAACACAGAAAAAAAGCGTTTAGTTGAAGAGAGTCTCAAGCAAGATGTTACCTCCAGTGAAAACAGAGAGAGACTAACGCCTGTTTGCTGTGTTAAGAGGCTGGATGCTGCGCATTAAACTAGTCACTTTACCTTCAATTATGTTCAATAATTGTTAAAATGACTAAAAAATTGAATATTAAACTTTTAAAATTATTGAATAATATAAACTTCTTGATATTTACTGAAATAGTAAGGAATTTAAGCCCTAGAACCGATTAATGTATTGGCGGACTGATACTAAAGCTGGTTGACCGGCCAGTGCAAGCGAAAACATGTTGAGGTCGGTTCATAAGAAATTCGTTAACCGAATTGAAAATTCTTATGGAAGGCAGTTCGTTAACCGAAATTTCGTTAATCGAGGCGTTCGTTAACCGAGGGATCACTGTACTTATAAGTATTTTCTTGTGATTTTATTTAATGGCTACACACACACACACACACACATATCACATCACATGGCTGTTTATCAGTAATGTTTGTACATGTTAACACTCATAGGAGCGTTATTGGTTTGATGCTGGAGAAATAAACCCTCAACATTGACTCGTACCATATAATTCGGTCAAAACCTGTCAAAGAACAATTCTCATATAACAAATGCTGTTATCTCAGGACACATAGTATGAATACTATAATCAATATACAGTACATAGCCTGTTAACATCTTAAATGTAACTCACATTTGTATAATATGATCAAATTACAGTTCATAAATATACTTATTAAAGTTATTTAGAGTTTCTTATAAGATTCTAATACTTCACGATCACTCACGTTTTAGGGTTTAGTGGTCTGAACCAACGTGTTGTCTGTCCTGTAGAAATCGGTAGACTACCCTCGACGGCAATCGCAGCCCGAAGGCGAGGGCCACCTGTTTCACATTGAAACACCTCAGCAATTAAGTCATATATATATATATATATACCTGTATATATATATATATATATATATATATATATATATATATATATATATATATATATATATATATATATATATATATATATATATATATATATATATATATATCTATATATATATACTCTCTCTCTCTCTCTCTCTCTCTCTCTCTCTCTCTCCCCTCTCTCTCTCTCTCCTCTCTCTCTCTCTCTCTCCTCTCTCTCTCTCTCTCTCTCTCTCTCTCTCTCTCTCTCTCTCTCTCTCTCTCTCTCTCTCTCTCTCTCTCTCTCTCTCTCTCTCTCTCTCTCTCTCTCTCTCTCTCTCTCTCTCTCTCTCTCTCTCTCTCTCTCTCTCTCTCTCTCTCTCTCTCTCTCTCTCTCTCTCTCTCTCTCTCTCTCTCTCTCTCTCTCTCTCTCTCTCTCTCTCTCTCTCTCTCTCCCTCTCTCTCTCTCTCTCTCTCTCTCTCTCTCTCTCTCTCTCTCTCTCTCTCTCTCTCTCTCTCTCTCTCTCTCTCTCTCTCTCTCTCTCTCTCTCTCTCTCTCTCTCTCTCTCTCTCTCTCTCTCTCTCTCTCTCTCTCTCTCTCCTCTCTCTCTCTCTCTCTCTCTCTCTCTCTCTCTCTCTCTCTCTCTCTCTCTCTCTCTCTCTCTCTCTCTCTCTCTCTCTCTCTCTCTCTCTCTCTCTCTCTCTCTCTCTCTCTCTCTCTCTCTCTCTCTCTCTCTCTCAGCTTATCTTACTGTGGCGGTAACAGTACAACTATGCTGCTTTTTATCATTGTACTTTTATCATTCATGCAAAAATGAATGTGGAAACTTTTAATTCCGAATTCATTAACTTAATTAGTCCGAGTTGGATGTGGGCCGAGTTGGACTGTACTGTATTCCATATGACCAACACAAGCAATATATCACATCTACAGTACAGTTAACCCTCACTTTACGCGGTTAATGTAACCCGGAGGGTCCCGCGTAAAGTGAGAAACGGTAAAGTGAATAACATAACATATGGGATTAATTGAAATGGAGTCCGGGCCGATCCCCAAACTCCACTTTTTGACGACACACAACTATGTTGTAGTAAAAATATTATCTTAACTTTATGATGGTATGCACACACAATTAATAATTAAGAGAAATATCAATAATATTAGGTTTTTTAACACTTACATTAGTAGAAAAAATGGCTGGGCACACGGAGATGGGCGGTTGGTTCCGAGGCAGAGGGCAGATTATTGGCCCTCACCTGTGTCACTTGTATCAATTGTACCACTATCCACCACAGAGGCTTGCAGGGCCTCTTTGCCAAACTCCCCAAATTCCATACAAGTCCATATCCTCACCATAATTATCACTATCACTGACTTGGGCCGGCTGTGGTGGGTGGCGGGTGAAGAACTGGTAATGTTTTGATGACTGGGTGACCTTGTGCGCACCATGTTCGCGCCGCTTACACAACATGGCGGATGGCGGGAGGTTTGGATCCAAAAATGGCGCGGCTCGCCAGCCGCTCTCCGCGTAAAGGGGTACACGCACCGCGGAATGTGAGCATCCTGGGTTCCGGCAGGGCACCGCGTAAACGTGGAAACGCGGAATGTGGGACCGCGTAAAGTGAGGGTTAACTGTACTTGAAATCCCAAAAATTGGTAAAACATTGTTAATTTAAAGATCATGTCAGTAATAAGGGGGTTTAGGAACCGTGAGAGCGAAGTTTAGAAACTGAGAGAGTGGCATATTATATGCTCTGGCACACTTACTGGAAACAAAGGTGTTATGAAATCCACTCAAACAATTCTCATTTTTGTGTTGAAATTTTTGAAGAAAAAATAGCCTCATTTCTGTAAGAATGAATTTTCATTTCATATCCCAAATTTAGTGGTCATAATTTATGAAATTTGTAAGGGCAAATTTCTGTAACCTGAATGTTCATAGTGCAGGAGATGTAGCTGTACTGTACCTGGTAAGTTTTAAGATGAAATGATATACTCCAAATATAAATATAGCCAAAACTTTTGTTTGCAAATACCCTACTTGTACTTGATGGGATTTTTTTAATGTAAGAATGCATTTATTTTTTATTGACAAATTATCTTAAGATCATGGTCAATGTGCAATACTGTCATCTGTATTACAGGTTGACAACCCTTTATCCGAAATTCCGAAAACCGAAAAGCTCTAAAAACCGAAAGTATTTTTGTGGAGCAATATTTTTATTTTTTTTTTTTTTAAACAGGGATTAACCCATCCGGGCATAAACCACTGACTCACATCGGGGCCTGGTGGGCGAAAATGTAATAGTAATAATAATTATAATAATAATAATTATTCATAGTACAGGTATATAAAATTTTTAATTAAAATACTGTACACCAAAATAAAATAATAATGATAACAATAATAATAATAGTAATAATAAAATTTAATAATAAAATTAATAATAATAATAACAATAATATTGTAATAAAATAATAATAACAATAAAGAAATACAAGAATGAAAAAAAAGATTAAAAGTGAGAAATGCGACCTAGACCTATGAATTATTATTACATCATTATTATTATTATTATTATTATTATTATTATTATTATTATTATTATTATTATTATTATTATTATTATTATTATTATTATTATTATTATTATTCGCCCCATTCCCAGGGATGTGGGTCAGTGATCTATGCCCGGGTGGCGTAAAAAAAACAAAAAAACTAACCATTCTGAAAACCGAAAAATTCCGAAATCCGAAATGCCTCTGGCCCCAAGGATTTCGGATAAGGGATTGTCAACCTGTACCATGTTTTGGTAGCTATTGTGCATCATATGAACCTGATGAAAGAACAAAACACTTTCGTGTTGGAAGTACAGTATTCTAAGATTTTTCTGTTAGGTTAAGCTAGGGGGGTTCAGTAAGTGGCTGACAGCTGTCTTTTTATTTTTTACTGTAATGTACAGATTTGAGTAACAATTTGTAGAAAAATAAGAATAAAAAAGTATTTAAAATTAACAGTAGTACCGGGTAGATATGCTAACTAATATTGCATAATTGGATGTCTTTTACTAGTAACTAGGTACAGTACAGTATATACTGTATATACACCTGTATAGTACTTTACAAATATGAAAATATGAACTCCTCATCAGTGATAACTGTCCTGTTTTACCTTAGATAAATTTCTTATCCCCAGAGAATTGCTGGAAAATAGCATTGCACCAAAGCCACAGCGACTATCTTCCAGTGACCTTGCTCAGCTGATAGAGTTGCTCATCCTTAAAGATGGAGAACTGAAGGATACAATAAAGGTCAGACCTTATTTAAAGATATTAGCAGTGTTGGTGTATATTTAGTAGAACGTCTATATAGTAGACTAATTGATGCAGTAACTTGTCACTAATGGTAGGTTTCTGTTTAGTAAGGGTCAAATTTTCAGGGGGACTAGCAGACAGTAAAAATCAAATACTTAGGCAGTCACATTTCTGTATTGTGATATTTGGACATCACAATCCCAATAAGTTCTTTTGCAACTCAACAGCTGGCTGTTGAAACACCTACTGTCCAATATTGAAAGATGTCAGCTAAAACAGAAAATATGGTATGAGAATTTTTCCACTAAGCAATGGATTTGCACTGCTTGCTATATCAACAATTTAGTTGAGAACTACAGTGTATAGGAAAAGAGATATAGAAAATGGACAGCATAATTTTTTTTTAAATACAGGTATTACTTATACTGTACAATATACAGTACGTACAGTACTGTACAATGTACAGTGTACATACCACGAGAGAAATATGGTATGTCTATATTCTTTTTGTTTAGTGTTGTAGTAGAGTACCATTTGATTTTTATTACTTTAGATTGTATAAGATGGAAATTAATTTCTTATTTTAGTGTTTTTTCTTAACTGGAAATAATATTTTTTATACAGTACTGTGCTGTACAGTAGTACTTTTCCAAATCTGGAACCTTTTAATTTGTATGGGTAATTTATTTTTTGTAAAACTGTAGTTTAGAGACAAACACTGATTAATTAACAAATTAAAACAAGACATATACAACACCATGATTTGTTTCTCACCTAGAATTCATTTCAATATCAGACATCTGTTCCCTTTACCTTGACTGTACTTACAGAGCACAAAGAAGATCACTGCCTCCTTGTGGTTCACATTTCCTGGCAAATGCAAACAAGCATCTTGGAACTTTTGATTTTTGTTGCAATGGACTTTTAATCACTGCCAAACATTGGTCTATTCCTTCTAAAATCAGACCTACCTTCGTACACAGGGTGGCTGGCTTTGAGCACAATTCGTAAAAGAAAGTTGAAGGGGTGACAGGTCGTAGACACTTAAAGCAAACAAAGTTTTTTTGCTATCAAAATATTTTCATAACTATAAAGTTTTTGTTTGTGAGCATCATTTGCTAGTTTAAGGTGTACCGGGTAAGTAATGAATAAAAATCATTAATACAAATCTATATTTTTCCCAAAATTTCAAATGTGGCAAAACTTTCTCTGGCAGGAGCATATCAGAGTACTGTACTGTATAGAGTAATATAACTAGTGAAAAATATTAGAAACTTGTCTGTCTTGAATATTAATAAACAGTCTGTGGTGCTTGATATATCCTATTCTGTACTGTACAAGATGTACCTGAGTATGTGACTTGAATGGAGGTATGTGAAAGTTGTCTTTGACTTAGGGTGATTTTGGACAGCTGAAAAATTACTTGGGAAGCACAATCCAAATACTATTCATATATACATTATGTGCAGGATTGCATGATATAAAACTTGTACAGTAATGGCATTATGCATGGTACAGTACTGATAATGAAATAATGATAGAACTACAGTAGAAGTCCAAAAATCCGGACTGCTTGGGGATTGGGTCGGTCCGGATTTTCGGATTTTCCGGATTCTCAGGGAGTACTTTTAAAATTCAAATTTAATGAAGAATAAAGAAGAAATGAACAGGTACATTTTGATAGTTTATTCATTTGCAAATATAGCATGCTTCATTTATCAAAACGAGCAGTTTTAATGAAAAAGCTGTGAATTCTAAATTTTATTCTTTGCCTTTTATATATCATAAATTGTAGACTTTCCAATGTCGTATGTTTCCATTAGAACAGTATTGCTCACACCACGATCTAGTTTCTTAATTATTTCATGTTTGTCACTCAATTTCAATGTGTTCTTCTTTCTCTTCACACAACGAAGTTTATCTACTTTAGGAGCCATTATTATGGGCTTGTACAGTACTCTGTAAATGGAAAGAGTAGGACTCAAAATATTGTTATATTACAATGGTATTCTATTCATACTGTGCTTGATATAATGCATTCACGGAAATGTAATATTTTTCCTGAAATTACATACAGTGAGTTCTGCTATAACGCGTGTTTTGATAACGCGAATTTGCTCTAACGCGATTTATGAATTAGGAACGATATTTGTATAACGCGAACGCTTGTTTGCTATAACGCGATTTTTGCTTACTATTTCTCCAATTTTGTGGTATTAACTGTGAATATAGTAAAGACGAATATCAACAAGAAGCGTTCTGGTGATAGAATTCCCGGTGATGATCGTAAAAGAAAGGATATAACACTTGAAGAGAAGCTCGATTTTATCAACCTCAAAATCACCCTTCTGCCCCATCAAGTAAAGTGTTACATTTACTGTATGATTTCATTATTAGATATGAATGTAACATTTATTTAGACTGTGCTATCCTTTGTGTTAGGCTAACTACTAAATTTTTTCGATTTCGAGTAATCTGCACCTAACCCTATTTTCTCCATAAGCCCTGTTATTTCTATTACGCGATTTTCTATAACACGATATTTTACAAGAACTCAATTATCGCGTTATAGCAGAACTACCTGTACGTATTACAGTGGAAAGTGGGATAAAATCGTGACGAAAACAATGACTTTCGCTTTCTTTCGTTCAAAAGATGTTACCGTAATCACTTTTCGAATGGTTTAGTTTAAAAACTGTTGTATTTCAATAATATTCCCTCCTAATTGACTTGAATAAATACTTGAATGGAAATATACAATATTTTTGTTGAAACTACCCGGGTTTCAGTGTAAAGTGTCGTAATAATAAATGGTAAACAATTTGCCTTCAGCACTTGTGTTTCATGCACGGCGAGCCTCAGTTTATAGGACGTAGAGCGTTTTTAGTGGTTTTGTTGTTCCATTACCCTCAAAAACGTGGGTGGAACTATAAACGAGGAATATCATAAATTAACGATTTCTTGGTCAAAAAATCAGGGTCGACTGATAACGAGGGGGGGTTATAGACGAGTATATACGGTATGTTGTCACAGTTTGATTGCCCATTTTAAAGTGGCGACCACATGGTCGCTTGTTGCCGCTGTGCAGCTGTGGCGCTCACGCATGCGCACATGCACACAAATGCCCGCTAAAAAAAAAATCGTTTTTGAAAAGTCCGGATTCTCGGGTGGTCCGGATTTCTGGCATCCGGATTTTTGGACTTTTACTGTACTGTAATTACATGTAAGAACATGTACACTGGACACCAGTGCCCCATTATATTTGTTTTACTCTCTTCTAATGTATAATCTTAAAAAATGAGCCTCTAACAGAACCAATTAGCATGTTATTTTCATGTCATACTATTTTCTGGAAAAGTTTTCCTTTCTCTTAACTCCTCTTCCCTTTTTGGCCTATACAGTGCAGTACATTACTGTATATGTTTGTTGTTGGTTTTTTTTTTTTTTTTTTGCTGCTGCAGATATTTGCCCTCCAATTTTTTTTGGAGTTCAGTGATGCCTGAAGCAACCCCTAGACTTTCTGGACAGGCTCTAACAATGTACAGTCGTTGAAGTAATACTATTGTCTGAAGTCACCCTTTGGACACCTATGAAGCTTATCTTCATAGAAAACATATGATGTTTCAAGCATTTCTGTTGACACATATGGATAACTCATTTGTTCATGCACCATTAGCATATTTAACATATGCTTTTAGCTTTCAAACTTACACTGCAACTTAAAACCCTCAATACTGTCCAAAGTCACCCCATCTTTCGGTACTTTAGTAATTGTTTGGTTGCTTTTACCAAAGAATGTAGAGTATTGTGAGGCAGTGGCCTACTTGCTACTTTAGTATTAAATTAAAAATATAGGGAATAGAAAGTTGCATTTTGAAATAGATTACCAAGCTTAACCAAAATGATCTTCAAATAAAACACCTTTTTTAATAATTTTTTGCTTCCCACTCTCACAGTATGTATGGCCATATTACCTTATTTGATATCTTTCCAGTCACTTTCATATCTCCTTATTTTTATATTTTTCATTCTCTGCATCCTATTCCCCCACAAATTAATCACAAACACAATATACAGTACCTGTTGTTCCTCTTGCATCTTGACACTATGCTTCACACCCATTGAATCATGATGGTTCAAAAATTTTCCTGTACCACTTTCCCCCATGTTTCCCTCGTTTGATACTGTTCTCACTTTTCCATATATTTTTATATCTAGCCATTCCTTTCTTTCTCTCAGTTTCTCTGTGGATGAGTTCATTAGTCATCATCTATTCCCATTGTCAACAGTTGGCCAATGATCAAGCCAGGATAGCAAGTATCATGGAGACAGTACAGGCAGAGGTGGACAAGCATGATCAGATGATCCTCCAATTGGAGAAACAACTACATGATGCCCATCATACACTGGTGAGAGGAGTGAAAAGTTTTGTATAGGGTTGAAACATGGTAATGATCCCATTTGATTGACAAATTTTACCCCAAATATTATAAAGAATTCACATACATGTACAGATATCCTCCACATTACGGGAACTCAGGTTCAGGGGCGAATTATCCAACAGGCTGGTGAGGCTGAAGCCTCAGGCTTGTAATTTTTATAGGCCTTTGTCAAACAAGAATTCAACAGTTATTTGGATTGAGAATTCCATTTCATAGATTCAGGTGCATTCATCGAGAAGAAACAAAGAAAATAACTTTAGGAAATATAAAACGACTTAGCGAGTCTGTGAGTACCATTTGAATATTTAGAAAATAGCTTATGCATTAAGAACATAAGAATGGAGGAAACTGCAGCGGGCCTATTGACCCACTCTGGGCAGTCCCGTTTATACCCAATCCCTATTGCTCATATAAGCATCCAACCTATGTTTGAAGCTACCCAGCGTATTCGAGTTAATGATATTTGGTAACTTGTTCCATTCATCCACTGCTCTGTTTCCAAACCAGTGTTTACCTATTTCATGCCGAAATCTAAATTTGTCTAATTTAAAACCATTGTTACAAGTTTGCTTCTGGTTGGATAGTTTGAGTACCTTTGTAATGTCCCCTTTGTTTAACCCTAACTTGCCATTTATACACCTCTATCATGTCGCCCCTCACTCTACGTCTCTCGAGGGAGTGCAAATTAAGATGCTTTAACCTGTCTCTGTATTCAAGGTTCCTAATGCCCGGGATTAGTCTTGTCATTCTCCTCTGGATTCTTTCCAAGGATTCTATATCCATTCTGTAATACGGTGACCAGAACTGAACTGCGTAATCCAGGTGAGGTCTCACAAGCGCTAGATATAATTTTAAGATGACTTTGCTAGTCTTGTAACTAACACTCCTTTGTATGAACCCAAGTACTTTATTAGCCTTGTTACGAGCAAAAAAGCATTGTTTACTTGGCTTAAGATTCCTACTTATCATTACTCCTAAATCTCTCTCGCAGTCGGATTCCACAATGGCATCATTGTTCATCTAGTAACTGGTTTCCCTATTTACATCTCCTATACTGAGTACTTAACATTTGTCCACATTGAATTTCATCTGCCATTTTTCCGACCATTCGCAAATTTTTTTTTAGATCTTCCTGTAGTTTTGCAGAGTCCTCGTCAGATTTAATTACACGTCCTATTTTAGTGTCATCAGCAAATTTACTTATGTCTATGCCGATATCTATGTCGTTTATGTATATAATAAATAATAATGGTCCAAGTACTGAGCCTTGGGGAACTCCACTAGTGACGTTGCTCCAATGCGATATAGTGCCGTTTATGCTCACTCGCTGTTTCCTGTCCCGTAACCACGCCCTAATCCATTTAAGGATATTACCTTTGATGCCATGCGCTTCTACCTTTCTAATTAGTCTTTCGTGGGGGACTCTGCCGAAGGCTTTGCTAAAGTCGAGATATACCACATCATAATTGTGCCCCTCGTCCACCGATTTGAAAACTGATGAAAAGAATGTTAATAGATTAGTTAGACATGAACGCCCGCTTGTGAAGCCATGTTGGGAATCATTGATCAACTTGTGCTTCTCCAGGTGGTTTCGAATAGAGTTTGAAATAATTGATTCTAGTAATTTACCTATTATTGATGTTAGACTGATTGGGCGGTAGGTAGAGGATAGTGATCTATCCCCCTTCTTGAAAATCGGTATTACATTCGCTATCCTCCAGGATTCTGGTACTACACTTGTTTTTAATGACATGTTAAACAACTTTGCTAAGGGCATGCTAAGCTCTTCCTTATATTCCTTTAATACTCTGGCAATTGTCTCATCGGGACCAGGTGACTTATTAGGCTTCAGTTTGTCTATTTGCTTATTAACATCGTTACTAGTCACTACTATCTCGCTTAATTTGTTTTCTTCACTATCTCTGAATAGAGTCGGTGCCTCAGGTATCATGTTTAAATTTTCGGTGGTGAAAACTGTTGAAAAATATTTATTCAGATTATTGCTCATTTCTCCGTCGTTATCAGTTAGCTCGCAGGTATCTGAACGTATTGTTCCAATCTTATCTCGTGTTTTAGTTTGATACATTTGGTAGAATCCTTTGGGTTTTTTTTTTGCCTCCCCAGCTATCTTCAGTTCATAGTTCCTCTTCGCTTTTCTTATCTCAGTCTTAACCCTACCGGCCAGTACCTTATAATACTCCCGGAAGTAAATTTTGCCACGATTTATCCTTCTACCTATAGCCTTCCTTTGGCCAATAATGTTTTTTAAATAATTATTTATCCATTTAGGGTCATTGTTGTCTGACCTGAGTTTTTTGTATGGTATGTTCTGCCTTTGTGCATTAAGTAACTCTTTATTTAAATTGTCGTGGAACTCGGCAATCTCAGATCTCTTTATCAGGTCGGTGTCATCTGTCAGGCTCGCACCCAAGCGCGACACCCCCTCTCTCAGCTGCCTCTTTAAACTATCAAAGTCTGCCTTTCTGAAATCTGGGACTTTAATGGAATTCCCTTTACTTCTGACCTGAAAATCTAACTGGAATCTAATTTCTTTGTGATCGCTGTTTGCAAGTTCGTTCCCTACCTCGACATTGCTAATGAGGTTTTCTCTGTTCAACAGAACTAAATCGAGTATATTATTACCCCGGGTGGGTTCGGTTATATGTTGACTTAGGAAACAGTCCTGGATCGTTTCGAGGAAATCCTCTGATACTGAGTTACCCGTAAGGTCAGTCCAATCTATTTGGCCAAGGTTAAAATCGCCTACTATACAGACTTTGTTGTGTATGAAAGCCCTGCGCATTTCATCCCAGATAAGTCGCTCATTAACTCTATCAAGATTGGGAGGTCTATATATTACTCCTATGATTAATTTTTCCCTACCATCGATTAATTCTATCCAAATTGTTTCTGTATTCCGCTCAGTTTTTATTTCCTTATTTATTTCGCACTTCAGATTATCCCTGACATAGATGGCTACTCCACCTCCTTTCCTGGACGGCCTATCTGTATGGAACAATTTGTAATCCGCAATTTGGTATTCGACAGGTAACTCATGTGAGTCTAGGTTGATCCCTGTTTCAGTGAATGCTATTACATCGATTTTTTCGGTACATACCAAGGCCCTAATATCATCCATTTTGTTTCTCATACTTCTACTGTTCGCGTAGTAGACATTTAAGTTAGTTGTGTTCTGAGTCCTCCCTTTACCGCGTTTAGGTTTAAACTCCCTGTCTAATTTAGTTTTGTCATCATTCCTAACACTATTTCCCTGTAATCTTTCACTTTGTTTACCCGCCCCCACTGCAGTCTCCTCCACCCCCATGACCATATGTTCCCCGAGCAGTTTAAAGACTTCGAGATCTTTTGAACTGTCCCCTCTAGAGACCCAGCCAGGGTTGCCACCCCATCCCGAGACAGGTGTACCCTATCCCTAGCATAAAGGTCCCTTCTGCCGTAGAAGTTGTCCCAGTTGTCAATGAATGGGACTGATATTGACTTGCAATATCCGTCAAGACGGCCGTTGACACCAACTGCCCTTGACAACCATTCATTGCTAACATTGCCAGGCTGGATGGCGCGCATGAAACTTGTGTCTTTACCTTCAATTAAGTTCAATAATTGTTAAAATGACTAAAAAATTTAATATTAAACTTTTAAAATTATTGAATAGTATAACTTCTTGATATTTACTAAAATAGTAAGGAATTTAAGCCCTAAAACCGATTACTGTATTGGCGGACTAATACTACAGCTGGACCGCCAAATGCAAACGAAAACATGTTGAGGTCGGCTCGTAAAAACTCGTTAATCGAGGGATTGCTCGTTAACCGAAGTTAAGAATCTTATGGAAGGTAAATTGTTAACCGAAGTCTCGTTAACCGAAGCGCTCGTTAACCGAGGGATCACTGTGTAACCTTTTTTTCTATAATTTCAATTTCTTTCCATTCTTTTTTTTTTTCGCCCCCCAGGCTCCGTTGTGGGTCGTTTGACCTGTGCCTGGGTGGGCTAATTCCCGAAAAAAAAAGACGTAATTTAAAAAAAAAAATTACTTTGTGACATGCACACACAATCTATCATACAGAATGTGCCAACAAAATTTAAAGAAATTATTATAAAAGGTTAAAAACATAAAGAGAATAAGCATTTCTTACATCTCTGGAATTAGCGTTGATCATGGGAGGGGATCTCAGCCTCCCACCAAGATGTGATCTGCAATTTCAGGTAGGTACACATAATTTCTTCTTATTTTTTTTTACTTTGTTACATGCACACACAATCATTCATATAGGGAATACAGTAAACGTTTCTTATATATGCGTGTGATGGACGTAACACATATAATATAGGAGGGGCAAGGGGTGTGGGGGATCTTGTGCTCACTGTCTCGTGCATAGTGACAAGATTGCCAAATGGCAACACAGTATTTTTCGTCTTTTTTTTTTCTTTTTTTTTTCTTCTTCTTCTTCTCTTTCACATTTACTGGTACAGTATAGAATATTTTATGTACAAAGAATAGCTTCTTCCACACGCAAACCATCCTCTGGGTGACGTGACACATTTCAACTGCTTAGCCTGGCAGTCACCGGGCACAGGTAGTGTCTTCCACATGTCACGTGTTGGTTGCACGTGTTACACCATTCTAAAATTGCATCATCATATCTCGGAATACTGCAAGTTATTGCACATTACTTTTTCATATCAGTGACAATGCAGAAAAGCAGTCGGGTAGCAACCATTGTAAATCTGATCTTAGCCACCGCATAGCGGTAAATGGTGTTAATTTTTTAAGACCGTACAATTGATCTATCCGATATAGATCCATCATATCACGGTCATTGCCTGTACCTATTTAATATGTTAATATTTCTCCTTCACCAGTTGTTTTATAATTTTTATAATAATTAACTTCCCTCTGACATCTCTTCCAGAGTGTGGCCTTATACCAAGCCCGGCAGAAGATGCAGAGTATTGCAAGAGCCAACAAACGTCCAGTTAACAGTGAGGAGCTTATCAAGTATGCCCACCGTATCTCTTCCACGTACTCTGTTACTGCGCCCGACACATGGCAGCAGGGTGACCCCAGAAGACCATATCCTATTGGTTAGTTATGATACCCTTGTTGGCATTCTGCTCCTCAAGTCAGGAGTCCATTGTACCCTTGAACATTACTATGTCCTATCCTTCTAATTATGAGAAATTCATTATTTGTTGTGAAAGACAAAGAATAAGTAAAGAAAATAAAACATGATACCTGTATTGCACTACATTCTGTCTTTGATATTTACAAAAGTAAATAATTCATTTTAACTGTTGGAAAAGGTCTGTTGATTTTTGAAGCAGTCGTTTATTTTAACTGCTGGAAAGAGTCTGTTGATTTGTGAAGCAGTGTTTGAATGGTCATTTATACATATCATTCTCCCTCACTCCTCAAGATTTGGAGATGCGAGCAGGTTTTCTAGGACAAAATGGTCAGCTCCTACACACGCACTCCCACCTGACAGATTCGTTAACAAGAGGTCACCACGCCGGTAAGTATGGTGCGTCTCAAACTTTACATTTGTTCCATTGACGTCTCAGTGTTGCATGCTGTTCATCTGTGTCTGCTAAAATATTATGCATGATGGTATGTAGTATTTTTGTGTCTCATTATTGTTGTGTATTTTGTTCTATGAATAAATTTTCATAGTGACAGGTAGCACAAGTGAAAATTGATTAATATGACTGTAGTCAAGAAACAAAAACAAAAAATGTACAGTACCGCTGTCTAGGAAATTGTTGTAGAATTTTTTAATGTTGCTGTTGATGTTGGTAGGGATTACATTCTCTTTTACAAAAATATTGTAGTTGTTGCTTCCAATTTTTATAGTACAGTACTGGTACTTTAAGATGTGATGATAGTTGTTAGAATGATTAAAGAAGACTTTTCATGTACTATTCAATCTCTCAAGAAAGAGGAATTTGAAAATGACATGAGTCATCAGAGATATATGTAGACACTTTGTTATCCATGTATTGGCTTTGGTCATCACCCGAGAGCTTTCATCATTGTAGACATGCACAGAATTCCTAAACAAAGTTAAACAAATATGGTAAAGCCATACTAATTCAAACCTTTTTCATTGAGATTTTGGATATTTCAAACAAATTTACTTACTCATACTACTTACTGTTTGGCACTGCAGGCTTACTAATTTCACTGGCTGCCACAGCAATTCCTCGCCACACTTTGCAATTTTCTGCCAGATCCTGGAGTTCTGAGGGGTCCACCTCAAGATTTTCCAAGTCTTTCAAAACTGTATTGTTTCATCTAGTTCACAGGTATCCTCATTGCCTTTGATTTTGTGGAATCCATTTTCATGCCTTTTTTTAAAAGTGGAGTCATTTGCTGTTTTTACCACATGCCCTAGCCATCTTAGGTGTATTGCTTTGATGATATTTATTATCATAGTTGCCTGGTTAAAGCTCTCACTTCTCTTCCATATCTCTTTTATCTTTGGTGTAGTTCATAAAAAACTGATCCACTTACATGCTTTTCAGGATTTTGTTCTCAGAGCTTTTCATTTTTTCCCCACTGTTTGAGTAATTCTCCAAGTTTCAGAGCTATACACCCACCTCATGTTTTATGCGGTGGTTACGTTCTTGAAAACTACCGCTTTATTTAAAAACGCGTAAATTTAGCATAATTTTCCTATAAGAATACATGTAAATGGTACAGGTTAGGGGAACCATCATATACCGTACAGGGTACGAACAGTGCTCTCACTTAAACCAAGCACGCGGCCATCCTCCGACACGCTCTCCTCTCTGAAGGCGGGTGATCACATGTAATTTCACATCCATTGCGATTGTTTTTTTTTGTGCCTTTTTAGCTTTAGGCGCCCCAGAGGAGGCAGATGGACTTTTTCCAGACATGCTCAATGGGGAAAACAGCGTTTAACACTAAAAAGGTACATGATAAACACACCATGCAAATGAGAGCACGGAGAAAAAGTAGTGCTGGTGTGAACTGAGAAAGCGATATGCGGGAAGCTTGCTGGACGTCATCACAGTTGCTGTACAGAATACTTCATTATCATCATTATCTTCATCACTAATAGTAATAATCTTTATTATTATTTTATTATAATAATTATTATTATTAACAATAATATTAAAATCGTTGATGTTGATGTTGATATGACTGTGACTTTATAGTCATAACTTAATAGCACCTCATCAGGCATCACACGCGACTCCACTGCCAGGCGTCCAGGCGAATACGCGCGGCAAAATTTAACTGTCTTGAGCACATTATTTAAAAAATAGGTGCACATAAATTAGCTTTTGGTATTAATTGAACAATCGTGCTATTCCAAAAACATTTAAATCAAACGTTCGTAAAACAGGAGTTACCTGTATGTAACTGCAGCGCAATATTAGCAAATTTGCGCTACTGTATTATAAATGTGTAACTTCACCCTTCTTGACAAAATTCTTGAACTTAATAGAAGTCTTTGAGTAGCTGCACGTTAACTTCCATATCTTAACCCTACCTTTGTTTATGTGTCAACTTAAATTTTTTATTTACCTTAGGTTGCAAAAATCTTTCCTTTATTCAATCTCTAGATCAGCTATGACTTCAGTATTCTCTTCAAAATTATAGTAACCATGACTACTAGCATGCATTACTTTAGTCTTGTTTGTATTTGTGATAGCCCAGCCTTTCAGCAGTTAGCTTTCAGCCCTTTAACCTTTTTTTTTTCCAAATTAACTTGATCTTCTGTCATGACATTCACATACACCACTCTGTTGACAATCTCATTCCAAATCTTGACATCTATCCTTTATCCATTTTTTTCAAAACCCATTCAAGACAGTTGCAAATTTGGTGCTTGTGTTGACAAGAACCTCGATGTAACCTGATGACTAATCTAATTATACATAATGCTAAAATTATGAATGGTCGAAGGCTTATTGGCTTTAATTGCATGGTTTATATACTGTATATAAAAGTCATCACAAGCATGAGGAGCACAGTTGTTACGAGAGCAGTAGCACACGTGCGAGGCGGACAAGTGTTTATCCCAGACTGAGGCGCAGTGATGCCACAAAACTCACGCGCTCCCCGTACCGGCCGCAAAAATGCCGACAACTTTAAAACTACCTGCACACATTCTTTGGTACATCCAGGGTGTCATCCGCAAATAATAAAGGACAACGAAATAAAAATCCGCGAATTATCCGGCATGCTGACCATTACCTGTGGTGTAATGCCAGCATCCTGCCTCGCAAGCGAGCGGACCCGAGTTTAATCTTCGGGCAGGGTGAAACTATGGGCAAGTTTCTTTACCCATTTGCCTCTGTCTACCCAGCAGTAATTGGGAACCTGGATGTTAATCGATTTGCGGATCGTATTCCGGGGCAATGTTTAGCCAGTGCAGTTGGCGAGTTGTCCAGTCTTCTCGGACTATTCCTTGATACTGGGTCATGCAGCTCGTTAACTTGGGGTGTGGTTGTTGTGTTGGCGACAGCTTCTACACCTAAACAAATTCACGCCTAGGAGGCCCTTGGGCCGGCCATCCTCGATTTCGAGGGGCTTCCATTATTATTTATTATATATACAGTGATATCAATGTTAGCCGGAACAATTGGTGCAGAGCACTTCCTGGAATGAGAGATCTCCGGGTAACAAGACGACTCTCGAACCCGGAAAAATATCCCTCATCCCTTGAATTTTTCAGGTAACGGAAAAATTTTCTCTTTAGTTCCAGAAATTGCCCATTACATCATCTCTCGAACCCGGAAAAATATCCCTCATTCCCGGATTTTTCTGGGTAATGGAGAATTTTTCTTGGAATTTCCAGAAAATGCGCCTGATTTTCATCCCTCAAACCCGGGGAAAAACTCCCCCATCCCTGGAATTTTCCGGGTACCGGGAAAATGTTCTTGTAATTTTTCGGAAAATGTGCCCCTCGGAAAATCATTCCCAAAACCGTAATTTTCCGGATAATTCTGGCTTTGGGAACATTTTCCGAGAAAATTTCAATTCCGGCTATCAGAGAGTTCCGAGATTGAGGGATTCCGGCTAATGGAGATATTATTGTATTCCCTTTGCGATGCTATACACGAACATCAGTGTTTCTTCCACCCCTGGAAACATTTCTGGAACTCACTTTCTGGGATAGCATTTATAGCTGCCTCCGTGCAACTCTGAATGTCAGCCACGTCTTGAAAAGTGTCCCCTTGATGTGTTTCTTCAGCGAAAATTTAAAAAAAAAAGTCACTCGGGGCCAGGTCAGGTGAATAAGGAGGGTGTACTAGTAAGGTGATTTGTTTCTCAGCCCAAAACTCCAGCATAATCAATGCCATGTGGGCTGGGGCATTGTCATGATGCAAGTTCCACCTGTTTCTAGCGAAAAATTTTGGGCATTTTTGTCTAACTCTTTCTCCAAGTCTTCTAAACACGTTAAGATAGTAAATCTGGTTCACACCCTGCATTGTCTTCACTTTCGACTTTCACATGCGGAACTTTTTGGGGTGCCGCAAGTTTGCAGTTTTCCACTGAGCGCTCTGGCATTTTGGTCATATTGGTAGACTCATGACTCATCACCAGTAATGACTCAGTGAAGCAGGTCATCTCCAGCTTCACTCTACAAAAGATCTGAGCAAATTTGAACTCCTCTTTGTTTTTGTTCGTCGCTGAGATTTTTCGGCACCATTTTCGCACAAACTTTTCTCAACTTGATATCTTTAGTAAAAACCATTCTAACTGTCTCCCTCTCAATCTTCATCTCATCTGCAATGCTTCCCTAATTTTTTCAATGTTTTCCTGCTCATTGTTGGTTGTCCTTTTCTGTCATCATCTGTCACATCTTCTCTTCCCTCAGAAAATTGCTTAATCCACTTGTAAACTGATGTTTTCTTTTGTGCATTATCCCCATAAACTTGAGTTAACATGTCCCGAATTTCAGGTCTAGTTTTCCCAAGTTTCACGAGAAACTTGATGTTTGTTCTTAAACAATATCTGTCATCGCGACAACACCAAAAACACTCCAATACAATAGTTGCAACTTCACACCTCCGACTCTCTTTAGATCCACAACACAACTGGGGTAGTAAGAGAAAGGATCAAGGTCACAAGCATGCCACTCACACTCGTTACAGTGCTGACTCATGTTGAGCCACACGGCGAGTTGAGTTCGCGAACTTAATTGTCAGACCTTGTGTATGTGTGTGTGTGTGTGTCATAACTAAATATTGGTGGTTAGTAAGTAATGCAGAATATTGTATTCATTTTCAGCCTTAGGTTAGAAAAATGGTATTATGTAAAATATTTTTTTGGAAAACTTATAACCATTATTTCTTGTTTTCATTGTTTTGTTTTTCCCAGAGCCAGCTTCATCAGGCCTTGGTGGTACCTTCAGCTGGCAAACATCAGGAGAACTCCAAGTTCATGTAGGGAGCCACACAGCAGTAGTAGAGAAAAAGGAGCAGGAAGATGTAGAAGTAATGAGCACGGACTCCTCTTCCTCCTCGTCTTCAGATTCTCAGTGACCCCACACATGAGGATGTATAATTGCTTGATCTCAGAATTTAAAATAGTATCATCAGTTTTCAGGAACTAAAGGATAATTGTTTTGATGATTTTTATATTGTGAATCCTATTTCAGCCTTTGGGTTAGGTTTTCACTTTAACCTGTGGGTTGTAAACATTACAAATTGTAAATCACTAGTGCAAACAGGAAATAAAGGGTTACAGTCTGGGTGCCAAATTATTACCCTAAAATAAATTTGCCCTCCAACTCCCTTAAAAAATATTTAAATTTGATATGTTTGGGACATCTATAGAGTATTAACTTAGAATATGCTGTATACTGGAAAAAAGTTTAGACAATTTTATATCGGTGTATCCCCCACCACCCTTTGAGCTGCAAGAAGCATCAGCGCCCTCACACTTCTTGGGTGGATCAACAAAGTTGTCATGTTCACCTTTATGTGATTGACACTGCAGTCTCTTTGTCTTGCTTTCTCCCTCTCACTCTGAGAAAAACAGTTAAGAAAAGAGAGAGAGGGAGTCAGAGGCTCTCTTCCCTGTTCTGACTCAGAGGAAGATGTGGAGGAGGAAGAAAATCAGGAGAAAGATTACTAAAAATTTGAAACTGTAAGTTAAGCCACAATCCATAACCGAAATCTCAGCTGCCTGGAGTACCACCACCTCCACATTGCTTTGGGGTTGTGCAGGGATGGCCACCAGACTGCACCTTTCAGCATCCTCAACACAGTGCTCCTGATCTTGCATATTCTTGCTGGTCACTGTTTATTAAACCAACCATGAAATAAATATACCTTTCATGTATCATTTTTTATTGTTTATTGTATATACAGTTGTGTATAATAGTACGGTAATATTAAGGAGAGGTTAGTTAAACGATGCATGTACGGGTTTGGAGTTTTATCATTGGTGTTGTAAGCATTTTCTCCATATAACTAAATTTAGAAGTTTATTTATTCATATTTTAACAATATGAACTGTATTTTTTGCTATATGCATTGCATACTTGCAAGTTTGAATACATTTCTGTTAATGAGCAAATTTCCCAATAATAACATTTTATAGAGTATTTTTAAGTATTTTTCAATGCATCATATTGCACCTCGCTACCTACACTCATTTACATGAACTTTTTATGTAGTATAATACTGTAGAGTACAGTACATATTATCTTTAACTGGAATAGTGTTTTAAGAAATGGATAAAAATAATGTAGAGTACATATTCTAAGAAATGGGTACAATTAAAAAATCAATCGGGTATGCTGTAGGCCTAACAAGAGATGCTAAGTACGAGAGCCAGGACACTGTGTATGTAAACAGGCTGGGGGGCCATGTTGTTGCATTTGCCAGGTTTATTTATTGATTCAGTATTATATTCTCATATGATCAACCTCTTTGTCTGTGGTGTATAGACAAAAACAATATATACAAGTAAGTCCTCGATATATGCGGGGATGCGTTCCTGAAAACTCTCGCATAAATCAAATTCTTGGTTAAATGGGAAAAAATAGGATGCGTTCCATAACCCAAAATGAAAATGTTCCAGACCCATTTTCAAGACAAACCATAAAACAAATCGATACAATATTATTTTTAAAATAATAGATAAAGCAAGTGTACATTACAGTGTACTTAACACTAAAAGCAGTTACATCAACTTAAGTAGAACGATGGAGGTGGTGGCAGGGGTTTTACATAGTGGGTGATGGTGTTGGAGTGACATCTGCAGAGTCATCAGGGTTGGAATCCATATCAGGGAGTATGACATCTCGCATAAGGCTGAATTTTGCTCACATTAATTGAATTCCTGGTAGGAATAGGATCTTTGCATTTGCTGAACTCGCATATATCGAGGACTTACTGTAATTTGTAATTTTATGTGAAAATAAAAGGATAAGCTGTATCGGAAGCTATTCACTCTGGATACATTCCTGGAAAGGGCTTTTCAGCAAATCGGCTTAAAACAGGGTCCCTAAAACATAGTGTACTGTACAGTATTTGATATGAAGATACCTTCCTAACAATGTTATTTATTGTCTTTGAGTGATACACGATGACTCGATTTGGCTACTTGTACGCTTTGACAACTGATTAATGAATAAACCAGGGAATATGCAGATACATAATACATTACAGTACAGTACAATATTATTGACTAACTGCTGATAAATGCACTACAATTTTATTTATTTAGACCAGATAAATACACTACAGTGCTATAAACTAAGTGCTGAAGACAGATATTGTGGTTAGCATGAGAGATGGAGATTGCTTGTAAAGAAGCTTGGACAATCAGCTGTTTGTGCTTTGTAACAAATGACTGGGAATTTAATGCGGCACAATGACTCATCTGGGATGAGTGTGCTGTTCATTTTTGGGGGGAAATTTATTATATTATGATAATCTTTTATCAATCAGGTACCAAACAAACCTAAATATTATGGAAGTTATGGTTAAATTGCATAAAGACATGTTAAAATGATCCTGAGAATGGGAGCCACCCACCTGTGCTACATCCTGCCTGCTGTTCCCAGACAATAAACCCCTACACTCTCTTTATTCATGAGGAAAATTGTGTGGTTACTTACATATAACACGTTACAGTACGTAACAATCATATCGGTGAAAACAGTTGGCAACAACCATACTTAAGCTTATTTTCAACCCAGTGAGTTCTATCTCTCATATATTTTGTTTTTATTGTTGATGTAATAGTCTTTTACCAACCTTGTTATGCACTTACAGACCTTAGTTGTTGAAGTGCAGTAACATAATAATAACAGCTGATTTTCTTAAAACAGTCCAGATAAACAATGTTGTGTCCAAACCCCTCCCCCAAGTTTGCTTTTTAAGGATTTTAGCATTTTCCATACTGGGTTCTGTCCCAATTATTCCGGAGTATTGTACTACTGTACAGTATATATAGATAACCCTTACAATTTCAGACAAATTGGAAGGCCAAACCAGAGAAACATGATTACCACTGTATATTCTGAAATTGGACAGGTTTCCCTCTCGCCACTTAACAATACTGTATCTATACTCAGGTAACCAACTAGAGCTAGTTCTTGACAGTATCTGAAGACAAAATAATGATCCAATGAAATAAAGTACAGTATCGTCTAACCTTAATTTTAGTCTTAGCTTCTATATAAGTGTTCTGTAGCACTCAAAGTTTCCACATCATCTGCAGGAACACAATTACTGTAGCCGTCTGATAATAGGACTTACTACTTACATGTACTTTCCAACCCCACATGCTTCTCCTGCCACACATGCTTTCTTGAAGAGGAAACTTCACTCTCTGATTTCAATTTCATCAGTTTCAAATTGTCATTACAGTAGTAATGTCATAACTGTGCTCTTCTACAGCCCATATTCCTGTTAAAGCATTTGCACACTCCACTATTGGCTGTGTCTATTATTGTAAACTTTCCTGTGGTGACTCCTGTTAGAACCATGTAGAGAACCGACACTGGAAGCCATTGCAAGAGCACTTAAAACTGTAATGAAATCACAATTAGAGAGTGAATATTACAGTATGTAGCTGAGTAGAAACAATGCAAGGATGACATTATTGACAGAATAACCTCATGTAAGAAAGGCATTTTTGGGCTCGCCCCATTACACTCTAAATTTTAAAGTTTTCTGAAATTATAAATATATCTGATAGCCCCATGGTCTAAAATCAGCCAAAGTCAAATTGCAAAGGTTTACTATACAGTACATTGTACAGAGAGAGATAGAATTATCCCTTTATACATAATGGTAAGCAAATTAAAAACAATTGTTGCATGGTTGTCTGTATTAAAAATTGACACCAGCAGTCAAGCTTTTGTAATACTGTAATATAATTTTCAAGATCTAAAACTATATCTTACTTATAAATATGAACCAATAATCTGGGTATCAGTTATTTTATATTTACCTATTAATGTGCAGCTGATGTCCAAGAAAGAACACTAGGCAGTTTTATACTACAGTAGTTACAGTGCCTGTATTACATAATTTATTTCCTTAAGAATGAATATGAGACATACTCCAGTAAATTGAATGCATGTGACCACAGTTTAATATTTCAAGTGAGTGAACATACAGGTATATAGTATCTATTTAAAAAAATTACCATTTGTTGTGTACCTACAGTACAAGAAGGTAACTCACTTCTGGATTTGTTTTGAAAATAAGAATTTATAAAATTTTCTTTATTAAAGATGTCAAATGCATACCACCCAATGTTACATATGGACATCAATAGTTATGGCATTTCAGCATAAATAATTATTTTTACTTGTGTGGATAATCATTAGTGTATGTAATTAATTCATGGGTCAACTAAATACAGGAAGGTACCTATGTAGAGGAATAGGAATTTAGGATTGACGACTTTTTGTCCATTTATTTACCTGCAACAGTCCATTTGTGACCTGGTAACAAAAAAACGGAAGCATTATTTTTTTCCATGCAGTCCTTGTTAAAAAATTTAATGTACAAAGATAAATTAAAGATTTGAAATATTCTATGTATCATTTCTGCCAAGCCTCACATTTAGAGGATTGAGCATCACTGTATAATACGCAACTCAAGGAGGTTAAATCCCAAGCCCCCTTCTTGTGTGACTGGGATCTAAAAACTGAATTAAATTTATAATAATATCCTTCGTCCTCATACTAATATTCCAAAGGGTAACACTTGGCATGAAAGTACAGTTCCCTAAAAAGGGCAAAGGCTGAAGAGTTTCTGCTGACCATATACTGTACACACATACAGTATTCTTTGTCTATATTACTGTATTTTATCCTCTGTGCCACTGGTCAGCTCTCTAGTCAGTCATATATGTTATGTACAGGGCATTCACTGGCTCCAGGAATGGTTAAATCTGGTTTTAAATGAGCTCACACTTGGTCTCATCATAACAGTCTCTGGCAGGTTATTCCAAGAATTCACAACTTTTTCCCACTGGCACTGGGTCTTGCTCAAAGGCCCATTATGGAGGGATCATAGAGGCATCCTCTACAGTAAAGTATTTTCTCATCAAGGCATAATGATTACTCAAATGTAGTGGCCACCTTATTGCAGTGATTATCTACCGTAATGACCACCTTATTTCAGTGATTACTCACTATAATGAGCCCCTATTACAGTAATCACCTTTCAATAGTGACTACTTTACTACACTGTACAGGACACTATCATCCTGCCAAATTCTGAAATAAATATGTTGCGCCTCACCATTTCCTCCAATATGTCCTGGAAATCACACATCCTTAGTATAACTAAAGCTGCCTCCCGAAAGTTGGGAATGCTGTACAGATGCCGTAGCTACTTCACTCCTGAGCAGTTGCTCCAAGTATATAAGGGATTCATTAGTCCTAACTTGGAGTACTGCTCTCATATCTGGGGGGCTCCTCTTCTATCCAACTATTAAGCCCCATCCACACGATCGAGCACTGCCCGACGGGCACTCGCTTAATGCCCGTTGTTTGGGCAAACCAACGGAGTGCCCGTGCCCGTGATCGAGCGAAATCACCAGATAAGGCCGTCTGCCTGGTGGTTTGACCGTTTGCTGCCGGGTCCATTCTCATGTAGTTAGTGAAGTCTTTCTCATGTTCACATTGCAGTTCACATAAAATCGTGGCATGACTTCCCTTAACTTTTCGTTGAGATAACCATTCCTTGCACCATTCCATTTTCTGTTTTTTCTTCTTTTTGCACACTGTAGCAATTATTATACACAGTGCTATAGTCTTCGATTTAACTGTCCTGCGACACACCATGGTGATTGTACCGCAGCAGCTACTGCCGACCACCTACTAGCTACCAGTGGCAGAGTGTGACTGATGCCAACCAGCACCTCTGTGTGTACGACGACACACAGGCTTTGCCCGATTAACGGGCAAAGTCCGCCAGGCGCTGTTCGATCGTGTGGACGGGGCTTTAGACAGGGCGGCATCAAAGGCATTTCGTCTTATTAACTCTCCTCCTTTAGTCGACAATCTTTCTTCTCTTTCTCTTTGCTGCAATGTTGCTTCACTCTCTCTGTTTTACAGGTACTTTAACAGGCAATGTTCGGTGGATTTGGCATCCTGTGTACCGCCGGCAAGGCCGTGGGTTCGTAACACACGTCTTGCCCGCGGTGCCCACCTTTTCTCTGTGGGTGTCGGTCACACGAGAATAACCCGTTATAGTACCCCGTTCTTTCCTCACACAACCAAACTGTGGAATGCTCTGCCTTCTTCTGTTTCCATACTTATACAATCTGTCTCACTTTAAAAAGCTAATTTTCTGGCATCTTCGTGGTGTAGATTAACACAGTACAACCTTTTTCTTCTCTATTTTCAATTTCTTTGTTATTTTTTCGCACCCCAGGCCCCGTTGTGGGTCGTTTGACCTGTGCCCGGGTGGGTTAATTCCAGTAAAAAAAAATACCGTGATAATTCCTATGGTAACTACTTAATTATGATGACAGCCTTACTGTATTGATTACCTTCCTTTGATGATCATCTTATTGTACTACTGTACTATTAACAAAGGCACCCCAAGACCCCCCAATAAACACAAAATTAAAATAAGTGAGGAAGCAGATATATGGTACATTTTTATAAGTACAAGTACTGTATTGAGCGCATAGGCGGACACAACAACCAGACATCATTGGAAGTAACAAGTTGTATTTCAGAATTTTTAAATGTTGATGGACTAGTGTAATCACTAGTCCTCAGCTGTCGAGGCTCGGTTGTAGCATTAATATTATTACAATAACGTTAAATGAAAATATATGTGAACATCTACGGTGGTTATATTATTTTTATTATTATATCCTTCTTTCCTAAGGAACAAACTAAAAATTGTGTACTGTATAAACTACTTATATACCAATTTATTGCGTGCATTCTTTCATTTACATCATTACTTTTAAGGTGTATTTTCAAATGCTCCTGTGTGTTTGATATGACATCAATTTATTTCATCATTATTCAAGCACACAACCAAACCTTATTTTTTTCTGCTGATTAATGATTTACTGTAATGAGGTAAACTAGGTAAGCCGTGTATATAATATTGGGCGGGAAAACAACCATTGTTTATATCTGTACCATACACAGTTGTGAGAACTTGCCAGACATTTTCGTGTTGCAGTAAGTTATACCATACCTATTGAACATGTGGATGAACCATTGCATTGTTTTATGATTCATGTTGACTTTCTTCAGATGTTCAAATTCAAGTGTAGTTGGTTGTGTTAATTTACTTACAATAATGAAATTTACGCCACTATCATAATAGGCGAAGTGGCTCCGTGGGCTGCGTGGTCGTGTTATTGCATTCTTCGAGTATATAATCCATTTCACTCAAGGAACTAACTCAGCACCAGCAGCACAACCTGTGTGTTAGGCTGCCACAACATCATACAGTAGAAGCCATTCCAAGATGCTGTTTGCTAGGTATTATCGTTTCGGTCATCCAGCTAATTTTAGGATTTTAAGTTTTGGAATCAGTACTTTAAACAATTCTAAGACACTTTTCGGTTAATAATAGGGTAAAGGTGTAGAAAAGGGTGACCACCAGAAGGAATTGTCCGAATTGGTTTAATTTTTTCTATACAATGATATGATATTAAACACAAAAATGGAAACGACAATGCATAGAATCTAATAGAACCTGTCCTAACATACCTAACCTATGGGTTTGTTAGGTCAGGTTCTATTAGGTTTATGCATTATCGTGTTAATTTATGTGTTAAACAACTTACCTAAATAGTGAGGTTGATATAAATCAGCAATAGCGAGGAGAAATACATGGAAGTGTTCACCATCATTTAGGAAACGTCTCTTGAACAGGGATTCAGTGAGGTAAACAACAAAAGTGGCGCTGGGAAAAGAATTGTGAAGCGGGACAGAGTAAATAAAAAGATTGTCAGGTTCTATTAGGTTCTATGCATTGTCGTTTCCATTTCTGTGTTTAATATGTTATTAGCATTATTTAGAAAAATAAATACAAAATAATGCATGGAACCTAATAAAACATGACATAACATACCCAACCTATGGGTATGTTAGGTCAGGTTCTATAAAGTTCTATGGATTTTCGTTTCCATTTTTGTGTTTAATATCATGATATTAGTGTGTAAATTTTTGTTTAACCAATTCGGACAATTCCTTCTGGTGGTCACCCTCTACTGCACCTTTAACATATACGACTAACCCGCCAGGGCTGCATAGCGCCAATGCGGCCGTATCATCTCAAATTTTACCATATCATAGTAAGTTCTTTCTGTTTAATATACCTTGGAAGTTATGTAAGGTTAGGTAGATTTGTTTGGTTTGGTTGGTTAGGTCTTTTCTTCGTACCCACAAATGTTAAGTAGCATTTATTTTAAAAAATTAAAATTTTTCAACATATTTCCACAAACTACAGCAGTCTCCATTATAATACAGGGTGTCTCAAAGGTCCTCATACTCAAAGTTTGGCAATTTATAGTGCAAGGGGGGACCTAGTTGAGGTGTATAAGCATCTCAGGGGGCACTACTCAGTTGAGTGTCCTTACTTGGAGCTGGCGGACGCTCACCCCACAAGGGGTCACAGCTCAAGATTGAAGAAGCCGCAAGTCCAGAAAACCGTGAGGGCAAACTTTTTCGGAGTGAGGGTTGTAAACTCTTGGAACAATCTACCAGAGAGTGTTGTGACGGCACCGAGTGTGAGCTCTTTCAAGAGAAGACTTGACCAACACTGGAGCGGGTTCAGGTACATTCAGGAGCCGGTGCATGCCAAGTATTTGCCAACAGTGCGTGACAGAGATGTGACCGATCGCCTGGGCGGCTAGCGAGCCGATCTTTTGGTGAAGAATATAAATGAAAAGAGACGTGACGGATCGCCCAAGCGGCTAACAAGCCGATCAGTGGCGAAGAGTATAAAAGTAAAAAAAAAGTAAAAGTAATGGCTAACGATAGCCATCCATGGTTTCACCTTAAATAACAAATAATAATTTAAAATTATAAAAATTTACCTGTGGTTTGTTTAATAATTATCCTGACAGTGATACAGCCAAAAACAGATCCACCAATCACAATCACCTTTACATACAGCCTTCCTTTACCAAGTATTGCCAGGTAAAATTGCGAGCACATGACGCAGGGTGGGGCGGGTGAATGAAAAGGTAAGTACTGTAATAACATATCAATCCCCCCTCCCCTCCCTCACAATCTATGCTGCTTTTTATCATTGTACTTTTATCATTCATGCAAAAATGCGTAAACTTTTACTTTTTAGTCCGAGTTCGTTAATCTAAGTGGTCCGAGTTGGTTATCCGAGATGGTCTGAGTTGGACTGTAGCCTTTTTTAAGACCCCCTCCCCCTCATCCAATAATAATGGAGGACCCCCAGTGAGAACCAGAGGTTTTGGGTGAGGGAAAATCATAAAAAAGTAGTAATTTGCAACAAATGAAGGTCAGAATAATCCCAAACCTAACCTAACCTATCCACCTGTGTATTTACCTTAATTAGACTCAGAAAACACGGATTTAGGGTCATCAGGGTCCTCCTCATCATCCAAAGGTCGCACTGGCCGCTGTTTCTCCGACTGTGGGGGGTAGACCTTGCTGGCAGTGACGAAGAACTGGTGTAAAAGCCTGTCTTCGCTGAACTGCATGATAAACAAGTAACATGCCAAGTACTGCTTGAAGTAGGCAAACTTGTTGCCAAGTCGCTTCAGCCACTCCTTGGATCCCTCCACAGACATTCGATGTTCTGTTTGTGGTGTTTCTCAGCTTTACAGCTACAAGGCTGGTTGCATGTCACGCAAGTAACCACAGTTGACAAAACACTATGTTGGAGAAATCTCCACGCTTCTCCATCCTTACCGTAATATTCTACATGAAATCTGGTGATGGCTTGGAAATAATTAATATCACAGCCATTGCATAATGAAGACATCTAGGAATTAAATTCAAAATACAAGCGGGTAGCGGCGGGGCCTATACCAAGCTGTGATTAGTTGATCCAAAATCATACCAACCAATCAATGTCCAAAGAACAACTGCACATGTGTCAGAGTTTAGCGCATGCGTGATGCAGCATAGTAACCAATAAATGAACACACGGGAGCTCTCGGATGGTGGTAACATCAATAAGAACTTAGAAAAAATACAATATTTTTCCAACATTTTATTGTGATTTTTTCTGTAAATAATCATGAATGGAAGAAATGCTCTAGAAGAAAATTTTCTTACAATTGTCAAAACTACTGATTCCAAAACTTAAATTTCTAATAATCGCCGGATGACTGAAACAATAATAATACCCAAATTTATTCCTGTCGCAAGTATGCTATAACCAAATTGCCCTTGGTGAACTGAGGAAAACTGTTGCTGAACTATGATTTTATTTGGAAAGAACTGCAGAGCATCAGTTGCACACATTTAAAGCTAATTTTTAGAAAATGTGGTATTATTTTAGTTTCAGTCGTCCAGGGAATTTAAGGAGGGTCTGGAGGGGGGAAGCCCTCCGGTTAGGTTAGATATAGTTCCTGGGTTCTGTGGCTAGGTTAGGTTAGGTTAGATTAGTTTGGATATCTAAATACTGTACAGGCCTGACCGAAACAAAAATTTTACCAAATATGTCAGCTCCTCAACCCAGCAACAAGACATCATCTTGCAAAGTAAATTAGAGGAGAGGCATTTATTGGGTTAATATTCAATAGTTGCCATGCATGGAACACTAAATTGATTCTTATACTGTATACGGAAGGACCTAGGTGTGTATGTTGACAATGAGCTGAAGTTCTCGGGCCATTGCGAGAAGAAGGTAAATCAGGCAAAAAAAATATTGGGTCTTTTAGAAGGTCGTTCAGATATCTAGACGCTCTGTCCCTCGTAACGATCTTCAAGAGTGAAGTGCTTCCCCCATCTGCAGTACTGTCACCAGTCTGGTCCCTGAGATATGCTAGGGACTGTCAGTTGGTTGAAAATGTTCAAAGGAGGGCCACCAGACTGGTGCCTGCACTTCGGCACCTCAGCTACCTTGAGAGATTGGAGCGCCGGAACTTGCCTAACTTATGCTACAGACGGGCAAGGAGTGACCTATTTGAGGTGTATAAGCATCTCAAGGGGCACTACTCAGTCGAGTGTCCTTACTTGTAGCTGGCGGACGCTCGCCCCACAAGGGGTCACAGCTCAAGATCGAAGAAGCCGCAAGTCCAAAAAACTGTGAGAGCAAACTTTTTCGGAGCGAGAGTTGTGAGCTCTTGGAACGATCTACCAGAAGTGTTGTGATGGCATTGAGTGTGACCTCTTTTAAGACAAGACTTGACCAACACTGGAGCAGGTTCAGGTACATTCAGGAGCTGGTGCATGCCCAGTACTTGCCAACAGTGCGTAACAGAGAAGTGACCGATCGCCCAAGCGGCTAACGAGCCGATCAGTGGTGAAGAGAATAAAAGTAAAAAAAGGAAAAAGTTAGCACGAGAAGGACTTTATTGAATTGCAGGACATGAAAGAAGAGGGGAATAACGGGGTAAAAACAGTACAAAATTTATATACTGTAGCAGTAAATTCATGTTTATGTGCTTTGTAGGTGAAGAAATTATTTCCTGCAATTATGGTGCCGTTGGATCTTCCGTAGCGACTGTGTTTTGGTTCACATCATCTACTATATAGGAGTGTCTGCAGTCTTTGTTTACATGTCAAGAATGGGTAAAGAAAGGGAATGACAATGAAAAATGGAAAGGTTGCTAATAGCTCTGAAATAGTTGCAGAAATAATTAGCATCCGACAGTTTTGGCTAGACAGTGATGACCAAGTTGACGAATGCAATTGTGATGGAATGTAATGTTCTTGCTGATTGGTTGAAGAATGTGGTAATAAAGAAAAGGTAATGCACTTAAATGTGAAAACTACAGGGGCCTGAAGCTGTTAGAGAAGTAATGAGAGTTATGGAAAGAATGATCAAGGAATTGATAGGAGAGGCAATATTTTTGGCCATTCATCTACAAGAGAATTATCTGGCGAAGGAGAAAAAGTTGTACAGTACTTTGCATTTGTATTCGTATATGGGGGAATCCTTCACAGGCCATTGGCCTCCTTCCCCTGACATGCCCACTTTTAAATCAGGTGGCTGTTAGGTTAAAAAGATCTGACGGGTAGGAAATATGGTTTAGGCATGTGGAAAGAATGGAGGAAAATACCTTGGTCAAGAGATGCTTGAGATTGATTGTGGAGTAAAGGACAACTAAGGTTAGGCTAAGGATGACATGGGGAGAGGTTGAGATAAGTGACATCAAAGAGAACCTGACAAGAGAGGCTATAAGAGACTGGGCAGTATGGAGAGCTGCCATCAAGTTATAATGGCTAACCCGTTCAAGTCTGGAAAATGTTTGTAAAATGGTGATGATGATAATGATGACTCTGTTGTATTTTATACCTGTACTTGATGAATGCTGCTGTTTCCATGATACCTTCAGTTTGTATCCACAACTTGTAAATCAAGGATTGATTATGTTGTATGTGTTTTTTGTTTACAATATATATTTTTTTCCAGATAATTATTGAAATATGGCTGAACGGCCTGAGGATCTGAATCTGCCCAATGCAGTAATTACTCGCATTATAAAAGATGCACTGCCTGATGGCATCGCTGTAGCCAAGGAGGCTCGCAGTGCCATTGCCAAAGCTGCATCAGTTTTTGTCCTGTACACCACCTCAACAGCTAACAGTTTAGCTCAGAAAAACAAAAAGAAAACTGTGAGTGCACAGGATGTGTTTGCTGCCATGAAAGAGATGGAGTTTGATAAGTTTATTGAACCATTACAAGAAAGCTTAGAAGGTAAGATTTTTCTTTTCACCCTCCCCTCCATAAATATGTTGGTACAGGTATCATCAATTACTATTATCTAATTTCCAATTTAATAGCAAATTGGAGTCATGCCAGTCTTGTAGTTGTTAACTTTATGAACTTTAGCCGGAATATAATTTTTTTCCACCACTTATTATTTATTTTATTTATATGTATGTAAAACCTCACTAAGGCGGACTAATTGGGGGAAAGGGGTGTCCGGGATAAGAGGTTGTCCACCTTATAGCAAACTTTTCCAAAAAGACCACCATATAAAAAAAAAACGAGTGCAACACCAATGTATCCAATTTTTATGAAAGAAATAGGTGTTTTTTAAACAAAATTAATTTTAAAAAGTTATATACCTAAAGTACTGTAGTACACTTACTTATAGCTCACTGATAAGGTCTTCGGCTTAACTTTCTCACCACTCTTATGTTAATTTTTCAATAATAATGCAACAAATATGAATGCTACTTCAGCCTACGGTGAATGTACTAAATGTACAAAAACTATTAATGATGCCATAAAAAACACCAAAAATACAGTATACTGTACTCTATTTAGGAAAAACTTTTGTGTGAATTTTCCTCCTGTAGCCATAGTTTTCTTAAAATAATATATACATTACCAGAAAAAGTGAGGAATAAATAAAAATAATACCAACAAAAAATAATGTACTGTATTGCCAAATCAGCAAATAAAAGCCAAATGAAAGATAGTAACGAAGATCAGCTGGGAAGTCGATTCTCTGGTAACACACACACACATTGGTTCCTCGGTTAACGAACACAATTCGTTCCACAGAGTCGTTCGTTAACCGAATCTATTATTTCAATGGGATATTGGGTAATTGGTTCCAACTCACAGAAAAGTGCATACAAAGTATAAACAAAATGCAGTAAAGTACTGTACACTTACTTT